TATTATGTGTCTGACCCCACGAATGATTTGAACTGATTATTCTAGTGCTCCAAAAGCTAACAAATTTTTATTCCTTTCCTTGTAAAAACTATATATTTCCCAAACTTGGTACTTTAAAGTTCTAAGGGAAAATAACCTTAGTTACATGGGAAAATAACCAAGCTGACATAACAAAAGAAGGGCATGAGCTAAATAAATGACAGGCTGAGAACAAAATGAACTTACTCTATGTCAAATCTATTCATTGTGCAATTTCCTCCTTAGGTTTCCTTTATACACAGAAGAGTGTCTTGCCCTATTTTTATTAAGATTTTGCCTTCTGAATATAAAAAGATGATTCTGTTAGACAACTACCTAGAGCCAAAAGGAAGAAACAAGGAAAAAACCACGGGCCCAGCAATTAGCACAGCCTTGGGAACGTTCCCCGGCCTGGCACATCCCCTCAGAACCTCAATGCTTACAGCATGAAGCACGTACACAGCTAACTCACTCAGGACAGGGAATGGCCTCTGAAGTTTCCCATCTCAAAGGGGTCCAAAGTGTAAACTTCCAGACACAGCTGCAAAGGAGAGTCAGGACCTTCATGGGATCTTAAGAGTAGACAATGCCACCTCCTCAAGCATACTGGATCCCCTTGCATGTAACAGAATTCGAATCTTTAAAGAAATCAGCCTTCTTTCCATCTTTCTGCACAGTCCCTAAATGCCAGTCTCTAAAGCTGTGTCCCTCACTAGAGAAATGACTAACATAGACCCAAGGGTCCAAAATCTCCAAAGGCTTTGCACCAGAAAGAAACACTGCCATTTATCCAACTAGTTAAGTAAATGCTAGTAGCTCTTAGTATTGTCACAGGTAAGGTTAAAAACGTGGGAAGGATTACTAGGCCTGAAGAAGCTGTTCTAAAACAATGTACCAGAAAACAGGGTCCCATCCAGAGAGGCATTTAGATTCTCTGCAAAGAGTCTATCTAGCAAAGTGAATACAGAAAGTCTGAAACTGAACCCAGGACTACACCAAGTCCAAAGAGTCTATTAATATCTTAGTATTAGTTTAATAAAAGTCCCAGGCAGTCTCTTGGCAGAAAATAGCATCCCTGTCCTTAGTTGCTTTATCTTAGAAATCAGAATGCCTAAGTAGCTAATGCTTCTTGAATTTTATTCTTCTGCATTCCTAGAACAGTTACAACATACACCTGAAGAGGGCGCCTGCTTCTCCTAGTCTAAGGGACCCAGAGACACCGCACAATTTTCAAAGACGTTCTCAAACGAAACTGAAAGTTCAAAGTTTCAAGGAAGCTAACTCTCAAAACACTTTGTCCTAGTGAGCAATGCAAACACTTCCAACACCGCCTAGTAAATCCATTCTCTCATTTGGTGGAGGCAAATGAGAATATATGATTATAAACTTCTAGTTTTTGAAATTAGAGGGGATCTTCGGGCTTATTTTAAGGAGTTGAGGCTAATGAGGAAAACAGAATCAAAATGGCAAAAATAGCACAGATAAAGTGACCTCTAGATTGTGCACATTTTCCTCTTTCTAGAAAAGAGATAACATATTTCTACTCAAATCTACGCCTATCCCTAAAATGTCAATCAAGCAGGCATCTATATATGAGCCTCAGAATATTACTAAGGAGAAATTCAGAGTACGGGTTTTTAAAGGAAACTCTATAATGCTGATGAGTATGGAGTTGTTTTTTGGGGTGATGAAAATATTCTGAAACTAGATAAGTGCAGTAGTGTGTGTGGGGGGGGTTGCACAATCTTGTGAAATATACTAAAANTATTGTATTTTAAATCTACTGCAAATATCAAATAGAGCCCTTAGGAAAGTGCTTGAACTGAGATTTTTAAGGAAGGTTATAAACCAGGAGAAGAAGGGAGGAACAGCATGTGTGTTCCAGACATAGGGAACAACATGTGCTACAGAAAGTTCTAATGCACAAAAGAATCTGGTGTGGAAAAGAAACACAGGAGGTCAGAGTGGCTGGAACAAAGTAAATTAAAGAGACGCATGATGAAGAGAGACAAGATGCAGGCACCAGGTCGGGAGGAATTGTGGCAAAGAGCTTGGATTTCACCGTTATGTCCAAGGAGCAGCCACTAAAGGACTTTAAATGGGAATGGTTACCCAAAATGAGTGATGAACAAGCTTTGTTAGCTATAAGAGTACTAAAATACATTCTTAGGGAAAACTCTTCTGGATTGTAAGCCAAGTATGACTTCTTGTTAATACTTGCTCTGTATGTTTGAAGACGGCGTGGTTTCTCTAAGAACGTCAGTTGGCAGCATAGCTATGGGTAGACACCCAGGAAGGCTAAGAGAGATCTTAAAACTAGCAGTGCCACAGCCACTGTACACATGCAAGTTTTTCCTCTACAACAGACCAGTTAAATTCCCTAAACCCATTTGCCTCAAAGGTTGTCCCTATTCCAAACTCAAGCCCCAAAAGGGCCGAAGTCTCTTTACTAACCTCTTCTTCCTCTAGTTTTCGTTTCTTCTCTTTCTTGATATCTTCCGTTTTAATTTTCTTAGGTTTATAATCAGCACTAGAAAGGGGAACATGAATATGCAGTTAACACAACTGTGACTCAGTAGTTCTCACCAACAGGATGAGGACCTTTTAATTCCTTTTGGAGGCCTCCAAGGCAGACGTGGCTGCTACTTATCTTGGCTGGGCATTCTCAGTCAAGCACAGGAATGGAGAAAGTAAAGAAGGCCAGACCAAGGCCCAGTTGTTATGGCCCTACATAGAACACACAGCTTTGTGCTGCACGCAGGCCTGGAAGGGAAGCGGAATGGAGGGGTATATATGTAAATGACACCAGCAGAAGATGGAAACCTGGGAAGCTACAGTGCAACAATAGCTACCACAAAGTTGTAACTGGCTCAAAAGGGGAGGACAGGAATTCTGTACGAATTCTGAATGAATACAAATGAGTGCACTAAGTATTTCCCTCCTCTCTTTCCACTCCCTTCCTACCGTAAATCCCTTGTAGACTCCTGGAGCATAAGTTATACAAGATTGAAAATAAGGAATAGAATTTAACCTTGCTGAATCTGAAAAAGAGGTACATATAAGCCTCAAATAATTGTTTTAATTAAGAGCTATTTTATTACTTCGATACACTGAAACTTCACTGAGAATGTATTGACAGGCATAGATCCTAGGAGAAATTACTTTAACAATGAAAACTTACCTGTGGCAAGTGATGATAAACTTAGAACAACTTAAATAATTTAACTATTCTTCACGAATTCTGTATTATTTGAAATTCCTACAATAAATATGCATTACCTTTTTAATAAGAAAAATGTAGATATGTATTTCCATTTAAGCCTCAGGTACACCACTTATTTGCTTAGCAAACCCTACTTCTCATAATTCACAGAGGAATCAGTCACCCAGTCCGTTAATCACAAATTCCAAATGAGTAAAAGTCAATTAATGCAGTTTTTCCATGTATTGTAGAGACATACATCACATTCATTCTTTAAGCAACTCCTTTTTGTTTTAAAAATTAAAGTAATAATAAATACTCACTCATCCTCATCTCGAGGTCTCTTTAACGGCTTTATATCCTCTTTAGGAGGAGCAAAATAGCCATCATCTTCAGGTTCATCTTTAATTCGTGGCGGACTAAAGAGAAACAAATTATTGGTTAATGAGTGTTGCAACGTCTGCATTAAGTAATCCAAAGTAAAGATAAATTATCTCACTGAGAAGCAGCTCATAGAAGGATAACANCATATAGGAAACTTTAACTTTGATGTATCACATTTATAAATCTTTTCCTTATGTCTCTGGTTATGTATCTTACTTCAAAGGGTCTTCGCTATTCTACAATTATAAAAATATTCATCCAGGTTTTCTTGTGTGTGTGTTGTTTTTTTTTAGCAAATAAGCAGTTTTTCCAACATTATCCACGGAATAATCCTTCTTACTTAAAATAATCTCTTATCACTTTAAATGCAATGCTCTTCATGTACTGAATTTCCATTTATACATAGGTCTACTCCCTTAGTTCATTCTGTTCAGTACGCTGGGGCCTAGTATTGGGATCCAACAGGTTCAGAGCTAGTTAAATGCTTTCATTAGGACCTGGAAAACTTCTTTCAGAATGTTATTCTAGAGAGATTCTTGTAAGTACCTCCCTCCTCGCTCGAATATCAGGCTATGCATTTTAATAACTCAACACTATTGCTTAATTAGGTTGTGGAGTCAAAGAGCTGCCACTGTGACCCAGCGCTGGCTGTTACCATTTCCACTTCTGCTCCTCTTCTTTCTTCGGCTTCTTTTTCTTGCCGTCTGGCTCAGGAACTTTTTTATCTTTATCTTTATTCTTGGGTTTTTTCAATTTACCATCCTACAAAGAAACATGGTGAGAAAGCACTTAAATAAGAACCAATAGCATTTCCAGAAGTAGTTTTGGGGGGGCCATTAGGAAGAAAAACTGGAATCATAGAACATTACAACTGGAGACATTCTTAGGTCCAATCCTACTTGACAGATAGATAATACATTTACTGGTATTTTCTCTAGAGCAGTATTTCCCAAAACTCCCTGACAAATGATTACTTGAGAAAGTAGTTAAAAACATTCATTCTGCAGAGGAAGAGCCTAGGAAACTGTATTTTATTAGCCTCAGATATGTTTGGAAAAGCACTGCTATAGGGAATGTCATATCCTCACTGACTTTTAAATCTACTCATCTTTAAACCTCTTCTAATACCATCAAATAAAAAGTATGTGAGGCTTTGTTATTAGATACTTAATATACAACTAGAAAGGAAAGTCCTGATTGAGTCTAGCAGGGAACACTTTCTATCACTGCTGTTTGCCTACACAGAGTCGCACATGAAGCAGTAAGCAAGTATTTGGGAGGTCCTAAAATGATGACTGATTCTTACGGTGGCATTTCTGTATGGCTCTTCTTTGAACTGTGACCCTAGATGAGCTGTCACAGTGACACAGGAAAAGGGCATCAAACATAAACAAGTGCAATTCACCAATACAGGAGATAAATCTCAAAACATACACACACCCAGGCAAAAACGCGCTATTCAACAGGTGGGGGTTCTACTCAAGAGAATCGAAACTCTTTTGAAGAATATGTCCCTTTGTTCTAACTATTCAAGATAACCGAAGTCTTTATTCAACAATTATTATATAGCTATGAAAGGTGGTTTTGAGTTATCTTAGAATCAATTACAGAGTGGCAGAGCTTGAAAGAACTTCATAGATGGTTTGGTTTGACCTCTTCGTTACAATCCAGGAAGCTCTGGAACAAAGGTTCTGTCACTTCCTCAAAGTCATATAGCTGATGCTGCCATGATGAAAACCCAAGTTTACCAGAAAAATAACAGAATGTGACGCATGAGAATGACTGGAATAAACATTCTAGGACTACATGATAGGATGGC